GTCAGGCATGGATGAAGAATGTAGAGACAAAATAATAGCAACATGTGTTTGCAGAGTGAAGTGTGGTATTCTTTGCAGCTTAAAATGCATAAAATCATCTTTGCAGAGAAAACACGTACGCCTATATCAAATATGCTACGAGCTCTGCAGAATGGTTTGGTGTTTGCACAGCAATTAACAGAGCTCAACATTTCTCTGTGTTTTTGTTATCTAACCACGTGAGCCATTAACCAGGCACAAAGTCTCACACTGCTGCCTAAAATAGCACAAAGTCTTTTTTCCCCCCTCATCAGTGACTAGACACAGAAACGTGTGCTCCATTTCCATCAACTGATTTGACACTAATTAATTTGATTTCCCTTATTAGGCAGCAGACCCAGTTAATGAAAGCAAGTGTGCTTTTAAAAGCRGTGCCACAGACAATCACGGTTATGCAGCTCACCTTTAGGCACCTGGAAAATGGAGTTGACAGATATCTGTCAACGTGTTAATGAAAAGTTGGCTTTTATAGAAGCGGTCAGCTTTAATCCACAAASGCTTTTAAAGACAGAAATGAAAAAGGGGATTGTTCATTGTTCTTTAACTGATAAAGTCTTTTGTTGCTCACAAAGATTAAATCAAACAAAGCTTACCTAAGACTCAGCTGAACCGCCTCACAATGTGTAAAAATCCTGAGCTTATAGGAGCACGGGCTCCCAATGCGGAGGTTTTACAATGTTTGAAAAGAAGAATTAGTTCCTTTTAAGACTTGTTTTACAGATAAAATTGATTTAAAAACAGAAAGATTCTCAAAATTATTACACCAGAAAATAACTTTACACAAAATCTTACATGTTCTGGTTCATCCTGGTTATTTTTACAGCACCTTTAAGACTTTTATGACTTCCAAACCTTTTTTTTTTACTCTAAACTGGGAACATCTTATTTCAGTATGCAGTCTCTTTACTATTAAATAAACTCATTTTGTTTGTGTGTGTGTGTGTGTGTGTGTGTGTGTGTGTGTGTGTGTGTGTGTGTGTGTGTGTGT